TGTGTGTGTGTGTGTGTGCCCTAGTGGGTGGAAAGAAAAGGAACAACAGCTGCTCCACTTTCAGGACCCTGAGACACCACACTCCAGTTTTTCTCCTTCAAACAACTGAGCAGATATTGGTAAACCGAGTAAACCCTGGAAAAATCAAGCTCTAGCTTTTTCCTGCATGACTGCAATCTTCCTTGTCTGATGTGCATCGTTACTCAAATGTTTTTCTTGTTTTTGTTTTGTAAAGAAGTTACTAGCAAACATTGACACTTGATTCAGGGACCTTTCATGAGAAAGCCATGTGCACTTCACGAAGGATGCATAGGGTATCAAAGGCCTAACTGCTGCCCTCCCTGCACAGGCTTTATTCTAGAAGCTTCAGGATAAGCATGTCTTCCTTCCTGAATCCCAGCTCCCACTGTGTGGAGTGTTGCACTCTGTAACGTGATGGTTCACAGCCTGCAGCAGGCAGGGCCTGAGATGTGACTCTCGTGTCTTGCCCCTGGTGAGGTGTCCTGACTGGGGAGAGCTGGCTGATTGATGATTACGTTTGTGTTGCTACATCACGGGAACTGAGGGATGAGTCATCACCAGGGCTTGATATAATATTCACTCTGATTGCAGTGCTAGCTAGGGTGCAGCTCAAACAGCCCTGCCTGGTTTGTGCACCCTAGAATAATCACAACAGTGAAGCAACACTAGTCATTACAAGTCTTTGAGGAAAAGGACTAGCACAATCTGTAATAGGAACCTTAACAAGTGTGCATATCTGTATACATTTGACTGCATGGCTTTCATTGGGAATATCTACGTCTTGCAGCTAGTTCTATATTGATATTTGCACAAGTCAGTCAGATTCTAGGACAGTACATTTTAGGAATGCAATTCAAAACATTGACAAAGCAAGTGAAGTATTATAAGTAATAAAAGAGTAACTGAGAGTTGTTTCTTGACACCAGTCTTTTTGGTAGTGAGACAATAGCTGAGAGACATTGTATCAGCATTTTGTCATTCAAAATAATTAACATTTCTTCTGCTTTCCCCCCACCGACACACTAATGTCTCTGGCCTTGGGGTCTGCCTGGCAACTGTGTGACTCATCCTGGGAGCTGTGCACTGCTGTAATGTGTGCAGAGCGGCTCGTTCTCAGCACGGCCAGCAGAGCGATTAGGTCTCAATGCCGTGAGTGGGCTCCATGATTAATAACAATCCGGCTTGAATTTGCCAGGAAATAAAATAGCCCATTCTGTATTTTCCCAGCATTCACTCATCAGGGTGTATCTAATTAAATAGGAATTTGCTTTTCTCGTGTTTGTTGTGTGCTTTTTTGCCAGCAGATACGTTTTTTTTTTTTCCAAATAAAGAGAAACTAGAAATGGGTACCGTTGGCACACTAGGCAGAAGTGAGAAACTCCTCTCTCCAGATTTCTGAGGAAACTCCTCATTCCCACAAGGAATGTGAAGCATTTCCATTTCCACGGAGAGAAAAGAAAAAGAGGATTTGTTGAAGTGCAGACACTTCAATTATGCATCGTCTTGTTTGTGTTGAAGCTCCCTTTCTGTGTCAAGCAGGTGGTACAGGATGTTTTTGTAAGCATGCAGACAGGCCAATGAACCCTACGAACCCCACAGCTCTTTAACTAAGGAAATGAGTCAATACCCGTGTTGTACTTCAATAACCACTGCAAAGCATGTAAGATCTTGAAAGTTGCAGTATTGATCTCCAATACGGTTGCTGATATTGGCTGAAGGCAGGCCCCTGTCGTGCTGACCCATAGACCTGTTTTATAATAGCAAGGCAGCAGCCTGGTTGAAACAAGGCACAGAAGCCTGGGGTTATCTCTGCTGACCTTCCTCACAAGCTCATTGTTCGCATTTAAACCCTGCTTTACTCAAAGTCTGCATCTGTCTAATCTGACTGGCTTTAATTGGGTCTCTTATTTCACAAATAATCCAATAATAGGGACAGAAAATACTTTAGTGCACAGCATACTGAATTCAATGTGATAGAAAGCAAGAGAAAATATGTTTAAGATTTCTATTTTCAGGTCCTCCCACACTGAGGGGGTATGCAGTGCTTCTAAAAGAATGTCCCAGCAAGGAACAATAAATGGTCAAGACATTAGAGGCAACAAGTCAAACCACAAAGGATGACATGTCAGTAGACGCTGGAACAATAGTCATTACAGATTAAATTGTACAGAAGGGATGAAAAAGACAACAGTCAATATTCAGCTTGGTAAGAGTGAACACATTTCAAGGATTTTTGCCTGGGTCCACAGGCACAATATCCTTAAAATCACACTCAAACTCGGCAGACACATTTTGTTTTTGTGCTTTTTGTTGTAGGGTTAGAAAAGCTTTACAGCTGCAGAGTGGGTAGTGCCACTGGCTCCTAAGCATTTATCTGTGTTTTAGGAGAGAAAGGCGGGCATGCCAGGGACAGGCTGTTCCCTCTAAAGGACGCAGCCTTCATCCTACTTCCTCCCTGATAAGAACAACACATTCTACAGAGCTCTGACACCGAGATGCATGGAAATACAAGTCGATGTTGATTTAAAGTCTGCAGAATCCTTCCCCTCCTTAAAATCTAGTTTTATAGTAAAAGTTATACAAAAAGCAGAAGTAATAATTGCTTACACTTATATAGCGCTTTCCTGGACACTCCATCAAAGCGCTTTACAGATAATGGGGTCTCCCCTCCACCACCACCAATGTGCAGCCCCACCTGGATGATGTGACGGCAGCCATAGTGCGCCAGAACGCTCACCACACATCAGCTATCAGTGGGGAGGAGAGCAGAGTAATGTAGCCAGTTCAGAGATGGGGATTATTAGGAGGCCATGATTGGTAAGGGCCAATGGGAAATTTGGCCAGTTCCCCCCTTACGGGGTTACACCCCTACTCTTTTCGAGAAACGCCCTGGGATTTTTAATGACCACAGAGTGTCAGGACCTCGGTTTTACGTCTCATCCGAAGGACGGCGCCTGTTTACAGTATAGTGTCCCCGTCGCTATACTGGGGCATTAGGACCCACATGGACCGCAGGGTGAGGGCCCCCTGCTGGCCCCACTAACACCTCTTCCAGCAGCAACCTTAGTTTTTCCCAGGAGTTCTCCCATCCAGGTACTGACCAGGCTCACACCTTATAAGACAGTTCTGTGTCATGTCTTCAAAACAAAATTCTTAAATACATTCCTTCTTCTATATTCCTTCTGATTTAAGAAGTGATATTCTGTGCAGAGAAAACTACAAGGAAGTTGTTGCATTACTTTGCTCATTAATCAATTAATTAAGATTTTGAATGAGTGCATTTAAACAAGATTCATACAATATGCTTTTTTTTCACATCGGGAAAGAGTCACCCATTGCACTCCAGAGCCACAGTTTTCTGACAGGGGTTCCTGGGAGTCTCTGATGAGAGCTGACGGAACTCGGACGAGCTCCGCCTCTGTCAGTGAACTTGATGAACCTGCCGGTGACGTGGCCGGCCTGCTTCTGTCCTCTGTCGCTACAGAATTCGTTCTATCTGGGTGGCAGCACCAACCACAGTAATGAGCCCCCAGGGTCTTTAAAAGACAAAGACGCCGGAGTGATGTCAACATCCAGAATCGGTCTCTCAAAACAGAAAACAGCCGGGAGAGACTGAAATTAATTCTTACAGTAAACTGGCGTTATACATGTCGTAGGAATTGTGATAGATTGCTATGACTATCGTCATTTGTCCTTTCGTTTGTCAGCCTGTTTTCATTGAGATGGATGGCAAAAGAACCCCATTGTTCACGACCAAAAAAACAACGTAGCTGTCTTTATTGTCTAGTATTTAAATCTACAAGAGTTACATTTCTTTTACACATTGAACTTTGAGTTAGTTAGGAGAAGTTGTTCTTTCTCTGCGTGCTTATTAGAAGGCACTAGAATCTGTCCTCCAACCCCTCCCCC